ACCGGGGTCTCCTTTGTACCTATACCTGTAAGGCTATGGCACAAAATGCCATTGAGCTGAGAAGGCAAAGGAGGCCCCGGTAGCGTAATGGATAACGCAACCGCCCGGTAAGCGGGAGATGCGGGTTCAAGTCCCGTCCCGGGTCCGACTTTTGCCAATATCTCAGCATTCTTGTGATAACTTACGGAGCGCGCACTGCGGCGTTGAACAGCAGTTATCAAAACTAAAAGAAGCCAGCAGCGTCAACACATAAGACGAATTTTCGTGAAATTTGTGTAAGATATGGAAATCGGGCACACGCATCCAGCCCTGGGAGTTTCGGAGCAAACGGTGCAGGTCAAGATTTTCATCTTCGCCACTGCTGGTGGAGTGGGGCAGGGCTTGTCGTCCGTCGGCGATCCCCAGCGATATGGGTCGTATTTGATCGCTGGAGGGAGGGGGTTTTTCCTCTGCAAAAGCCCACCCCCTTCCTGTCAAAGGCAGGTTTTCGAAAGAAAAGTGTAGAATTCATGAAAAAACCCGGCGCTGTTTATTGAAGAGGCATTTTGTATTATATGTAACTTAAATTGGCTTCCCTGTTTGCAAATCACTCTGGTAAAACTTGTGAACGCTTGTGAAGCTGGAGCAAGATCGTCTAGCCACCATCCTAAAACGTGTCAACTCGAAAAAAGGGTACCTAAATGGGTTGGCAAATGTATGAAAAGCAGAAAGCCTTCGTCGATAAACAGCGTCTGTCTCGGAGGGTAGGATCGTACGTGATTTGGAGAAATTTCACGCAGTTGTCAAATTTTCTTTTTCTATTCACGCTTACATATACATTTCCCTTCTTTCTCTCTTCATTCGCTATAGCTGACGGAAAAATTAGAAGCGCATCTGGGAAAACAGTACCGTTATTTCTGGTGAACAGTCAGATGTGCCTACCCGTACTGCGCTCGACAGCAAATTCTGGGAACACTTGGCAAAATGCTAGCTGGGATGGGGAAGGCATGTCGCATCAGAAGGAGGAATTTCGTTGGTATCGCCTTTTTCCGGAATTTCTGCAACGCCATGACGTGCCGCAAGGGGTTCGGGGGACCTCACTCGCTGATGACTTTGAAACAAAAGGAGAGGCCGAGAATATATTCTAAAGTGACCTACAGCAAAAAAAGTTGGATGAAATATTGTCCTGTTACTGTGAAAACAGGCAAAATTGCCCGTGGCAGGTCAGTTTGGAACAGAGCAGACAGCTGTGGTTATTCAGAGTTCCAAATACTTGCGCACGACTTCTTTCTTTTCGTTTTCCAGTCTGAATGCCCCACGGGATTCCAATGTCACGCACTTTTACGTCAGCGTAGAAGTACGCACTTAAGCTTCCATAGGAGGGTTTGATGAAAAAGTTTCTGGGAATTCGGGAGCACTGAGCGAATGAAAATGGGGATTTATAAATCCAGCGGTATCTTCTCTGAATTGTCCCGGTGGAAATTATCTCAGAACCGACGCGCAGGGTATACACGTAGCTTAGCTCAAGCTTTCTTAGCTTTCTGAGCGGAAATACTTTTCTGCTTAGGAGCGATATGCTGCAGCTTTCCGAAATTCGCTTCCATCAGCAGCACCTCCCACGCTGGCCGTGGGAGGTGCTGCTAGCGGGTCTGTGCCTCTCATTAGGTGTTCACCCTTCTTCTCCGTTATCCTGGAGAGGAGGGATGCATCAGTGAGAAAGGCGCAACAGTAGACCTGGCTCCACCCACACAATCAGCGTGGAATGTGCCCTCGAGTCGGAAAGGCGGTTCTTCCGAAAGTGGGAGTAGTTTGCTGGGCTTGGGATTCAGTACTTGAAGAACCTCTCAGATAGAGTCTTGTCTAAGACCGTCTTTCCGCCTCAAAGGCGCATTCCACGCTGGTTCCCCTAGCCAAAATCATTGGAATGAGCTCTGGGTTGCCACAGAGCACGAATTCACTAAAGAATAGTTCGGTGTTTTTAGTGGCATTTAAGCACTGCGCCATCTCTGTCCCTACTCCGGTATTATAGGGATTATTGGTCATTAGCAGTACTATATAGTGATTTGGTGATTCCAAGCGTCTGTTTTTGTGAATATGATTGATTTTTCAAATAATTAATCTGTCACCCGTCCTATCTCGTTTAAACGCTCATAAGTTTGAAGAAATATTGGCACATTGCTCAAACCGCGAACTTGAGTGATGACGGCTCTAGTTATATGACCATGAAAACCTGTTCCGGCAAAATTTATTGCACATGATGCTCAGCTGGGATGGGCAGTAAAACTTTTTCATAAAAGCCGCGAGATTGGGGAACGAAACCCCAAATTATATTAAGACTACAGCCTTGTTCGCTGCGAATGATGGGCATGTTAGAGGGGAGGCTGACTTTAACTGGCAGCAACCCTTTCTCCACTACTTGTGGATTTTGGCAGAAGACACCAATTGGTAGAGAACAGCCTGGCGCCTCCTCAGCCCCTCTGACGCGCCCAGGCATCCACTGCGCACAAGACGGGCTATTTTCCTTTCAGTGAAGTGCGTTTCAGCCATATTATAAATAGCCACCTCAAATTACGCACTCATAGGATCGCTTTACGGAATAATGAAGAGTTTTTAGGCAATTTCTTTCTAGGACTGCAGGAAAAAGAGAAAAAAAAGAAATATGAGCTGGTGTTTTTATAAAGGAGCCTATTTCGTGAAGAGTTTTCATAATGAGACGAAATAAAGGGAAATGGGGCGCAAGTCCGCTAAGGGGGGAGGGTTGAGGACGTAATTGCTACTAAAAGGGCACATCCTACCTTTCTGGAAAGTGAGAGTACTTGAAGGTTTATAAAATTGGATACTGGATGAGGATGAGTGGCTCTTTGGCGATGACAAGGTGCAGGAATACTTCTGTACAACTTTCTTTTAGCGCTTTCTTGGCGCCATATCGTATTCCAAAAGGCATACTGATCAAGCGCACCTCGTATCCCGAACATGGGGAGGGTGTGGCTGAGTACTTGATTTGAGTGTTGGTGGCTGCGCTCTTGATGGGATTTTTTTATTTCGAGACAGTGACAGAGAAATGGCAAACAGACAGAGAAATGAACTACGCCGCCACGCCTCCCCATCTTCGGGGTATGGGATGTAAGTAGGGAAGGATCCCATAGGGTGAGCCTGCTTTGCTTGGGTGCCGAAGTTCACAGGTTTTAATATTCAAGCGAGTGGTCTAATGACTAAGGAGAATGAATAAACAATGAATGGCCTGAAAAGTACCTGCATTAATCAATTCTTAGAAATGCGTAAAGTATAAAGCCTTTAGTTTCCAAGTCATTGCCTTGCTAATTTATCCACGGGAGAAAGGAAGGCTGGAGGCGGATGCTCTGATTGCCGTCTTACTGTAAGAACCTTTGGAAAAAACTTGCTTGTCTGTAATCCAATTTTCCTCAGAATTTACCTTAGTTCTTCCAGGATGTGCATAGGGAAGGAATGGGTCCAGTAAGGTAAAGGTGCTCCATGCTAGGATAGGGGGGAGGGGGTGGGGGGAGGGAATGGGGTGGAGAGGATTCTTCATACGCTATGGGATCCCATCAGTATTCTAGTGGCCAGCCCTGTGCTATGGGATTCGACTTGGTCTGAAAAGAGGGTGCTGGAGAGATGGAAGGTACATTTCCCTGTTCCCTGACCGTAATGGCCACTTCTTTACCCAGTGCCTTCTTTCACAGACAGGACGCGTCCTAGGATTGGGCGAATTTCTGCAGAAGACGACCTTTCTTCCTCTCGACAGGGCACGCCGTCGTTGTGATGATCCTAACGGGGAGGTCGCATTTGACCGTTGTTGAGAGAGGTGAGAAGGGAACTGCCAAAAATCTATACAACTACTATTTCCGATAGCTAAAAATGATTGTTAAATCCTGACGACCTTCCCCCCCCTTTCCTCCCCCCGCTCGGCAGCAAAATTTTGGGGAAAACGAGAAAGATTTCGGAAAACCTGGTAGGAGGTTACAGCAAATTTGAGAAATTTTCCTGTTTCACCTTGGGGATATACCCCCTCCCCCCTTCCTCTCCGCTCGACGGGAAATTCTTGGCTGAAAAACTGGAAATTTTTCGGGAAAAAATGGAAAAAGTGGTAGGAAGTTGGGAAAATCTAGGAATCTAGGAAAGTGGTAGGTAGCATGGGGAGGGGGGGGTCGTATTTGAGGATAGAATTAGGGGGGTCGTATTTTTCAGGAAATGATCACAACACGGTGGCGTGCCCTTCCTCACGACTGCCCTCCTCTGTAAGACCCTTCCGCCTTCTCCTACCTAATCTTCATTCTTTCAGCTTCCTAGAAAGAATTGATTGATGACTAGCACTTTATCTCTTACTTATAAGGTTTCCGGGTTGTGGGTAAAAGGCTCAGCCTCAACTGGAGTTCGACCTCCAGTATCTATCTTCAATCCTGTTTTGAATTTTTCGTCTTCACTAGATATTCAATGCTGTGAACATACCCGAGAATAACTACAGTTTTTCCCAGAAATTCTGCAAAATTTCCGCTTAAATACGCATTTTTGTGTTGTTTCAGGATGTTGCGAAATGTGTTTA